CTGATCTAGTGGAGGGTTTCCCTGCCCATGGCAGGGGGGTTGGAACTAGATGATCTTTGAGGTCCCTTCCAACCCAAACCATTCTATAATTCCATGATTTGTTAAGGCTCCGCTTATTTTGCATGACTCAAGTTACGTTGCTAATGTACATTGGGTGAACATCTGGCCCCTGGCTGATGATGTTCTTCTAGACTTGTCCTAGTCTTCCTGTGCCGAGCTGCTGCCTCCCACCACAGGCTCGCCTCGTCTTATCGTTGGGTGAAGGCGTTTCTTGTGGTGATGTGCAGCTCTTCCTTTCGTGGGAGTTATGTTTATCCAGGGTTTGAGTCAAATCCATATATAAAAACGTCTGAAGCCCTTTGGGATGAGAAAGGCTTAAAATATTAGTGCTAATTAATGGCTCCTTCTCTGTCTGGGTGTAAACAGTGAGTCATGTGCCACTTATGGTTTTGCATGTTTAGTCCTATTTCTGTGTACTTGCAGAATGCCTGCTTGCAGATTTGTTTTATTGAGTAAACATGGATCCCAGCAGAGCCCCGAGGCTTCACCGAATGTAAAACGGAGGGAGGGGGGAAAGAAAAAAACTGTTATGTGTTGCCTGAGGTCATGCAGTGAGTCACTGGGAAAGCTGGGTTTAGGTGCTGGGTGTTTCTGGCGCCCTGTTCGTTGCGCTGCAAGGCATGTTCGTCTGCCCGGGATTTTAATTAACTGTTGTGGCGAATCTATAGTTAACCAAAGAGAATCACGAGTTTTAACGTCATCATGGTGACCATCAGACTTTATGTAAAAATCAAAAAGCGCTCATTTATTAAGGATAGTTCTTTAAGGGCCCTAGACCCAAGCACTTCAACTTGGGTTTACAATGACTGTCTTAACATCCTAGGCAGGAGCTTGCCGGCGGCAGGATGCGAGGGTGCAGGCAGGGTGTTCTGATAGGATTCTAGTTACAACCATGTAACTAGAGGCATTGGTAAGGACTGCACAATGACATCCTTGCCGCTCGATCGCTTGGTGCCCGGGGATTTTGATTGGTTTTATACTGATTTCACTTCAAAACCACCTCTACAATTTAATAAATACTTGAGGTTTTTTTTATAATGGCAAGTTTAGTTCTGAATGTGGCAATGTGGTTTTTTTTAAGCTTTTATAGAGAGAAAATCCCAAATTTAAAGCCACTGCAGTGCATATATTCATCATAACCAATTCTTCATGGCATTTACTTGTGGAGGCACTAATGAGAGTATGTATTTGCAATGCTGTTAGCACACTCTGCACCATGCTGCGAAATCATAAGGAATAGCATTTCAAGTAGTTTGCAAACCCCACTGACTTTCATTTACCATGTAAACTCTCAGACCTTGGAGCTCTTTTTTCAACTGTGCTCACCATCCTTCTTGTTCTTTAAGTGTGATAGATACGCGTGTGGGTGGTCGTCCTGTCCTTTCCCCATGGCACGGGGCTATGAAACAAGTAAAAATCAATTCTCTTGGTTAACAAAATAAGACAAATCAAATGCATTAGTTACATTTATAGTCATCTCGAGATGGTGTATTTTTACATGAGGCTATAGCTCTTCTAGAAACACACTGCATAGAGAACTCGTTTTCCAAAGCTGTGTTCCATAACATGTGCAGAGCAAGGCGATTTTTGCCATTGATTTTTGTTCCTAGCAAAGGAAAGGTTAGCCAAACTCTTTCCAGAAGGCACGTTGAATCACATGGATGACCCACAGCCAATCCATACAGCGTTAGACTTTGAACTGCAGCCTAGCTAGTATAGGCACAGGCTTGAAAACTCAGCACAATCAAAAGTAATTGTATTAGTCAGAGATTGTTTTTTCTTTCTGCTGCCAAATGCAATTTCGGCTTGGTGATTGTTTTTATAACTTAGGAACACTGTATAAATCTTTAACTTTGTACACAACCAGTCTTTTTTTTTTTTCTATTATTGAAAAAAAGGATTTCTGTTTTCTTTTGCTTGTCTGTGTTTCATTTGCTGATAAATGTCCTCTTTCTCTGTAAGGTATCCGTTTTCAGTGCACTGAGATACAAACAAAAGCCACTTTTTGTGGTGCTGTTTGTTGTGGTTTTTTTTTAAATAAGGAAAAGCAGTGCCAAAAAGAGATGCACTTCTTGACCAACGACATCTTGAAAACACGTGCTACGTAAGCTTAATAGCATCTGGTGAGAGAAGGAAGGGCCAGGGTGCTCCCTCCATCCAAACAATACCCATATGGGGCTGTTTGTGTTGCATATGCTGCGTGCTTCCCAGCACAGCTAATCGTAGCTGCCTCTTCCCTGCTGTTCTGGAGAGGTCCCTCGGAGTCAGGGCTGTGGTCTGAGATGATGAACTGCTCAGCACTGTCGCTGTGGGATGTTCCTGCTTGTCCGCCGTGCTGCAAACACGATGGGGAAGCTGGGTATCGCTGTCGAGTCCCTTCTCAGAGTTAAACCACAGCCTTGGTTGGGTTTATCCATGGCTGTGGTACTGATAGAGACCACGGATAATTATTATTTAAGAGTAGGGCATTGCTGGTTGTGAAAACTTCCCTCTGGAAGATAATTTGAAAGGGAAATGTTTTTCTCCTTACTGCGTTGCCTATTCTGTTGCTGTTCCAACGGGTTCTGTTTAGCAAGCAGTTGGTTAATTATTTTCTTGCTGTCTGGAGACTGAAAGATAAGTTTCCACAGAGCATCTTACCCTGTCTGGGGTTTGGCAGTGAGTTTTATTGAAACAATCTGTTCATCTGAGTAAAATTTTGCTGGTGGAATTGTAACAAAGTTGGATAAAGAATACACAGGACCGGGCTTGTTAAATATTAAAACCATAACTTCTATATTTGCAGCAGCATATACTGATGACTGATGCCTTTAAATTTACTTCCTACTTTACAGACATTGTCTATCTACTAGGATATTTGAAGTAAAACTGTACGTGAAAAATACAAAGCGATGGGCATTTGGGTTAGTTTATATTAGTGGGCTGTTGTCCTTAAGGGTGACTTATCAATACAGGCTTTCAAACTGCTGGGGAAAAAAGACCCCTAAAGAGTTAGCTCTGGATTTTCAATTTAAACACATAATATTTTCCCTTTTTGCCCAAATTTATTAATGATTCAGCTTCTATTCTGAAACAAAATTATCACTAACTTAGGAATCTGTGAAAATAATCAGGGCATCCTAAATATTGTCTTGTTTCTTTGCTGTGTGAGCACACAGTATAAAGCTTTGTGATCCCATCAAGTACAGGCACATAAATCTGTGTGCTTTTTTTCATCCCATCTGGTAAGGGATGAAAAAGACAACTTTACAAGTTTTCCAGAAGATATGAATTACAAGAAAGGGTGTTAAGCCAATTTGTACCTCCATTTTAGGTACACAGCTCAAGAATATCTTGAAGGTACCCTGTTTTTTAATGAGGTGACTGTGTTACCCACTCCTTGGAAGTTGGTTTAAGTTAATCTCCAGGTGGGGCTTCCTCTGCATCTAGAATCACTGACCTGTTCTGAAAGTTTATACTAATGCCTTTTTGCTTTTGAGACCAGGTTTGTTGAGCAAAGGAAAGAATTTTGAAATGGGGAGAGCTTGGAGGAAAGCTATGTTAAAGTTGGGTTTGCCAAGCAAAAGATACATCCCTTCAGACTACTTCTGTTTGGACTTCCGGTTCAGTAACCTCCTCATCCTCCAGATCCTTAAGTTGAAACCTGAATTTATATGTGTCCAGGTCCATTGTTACTAATAGAAATAGTCTAGTGACATGATTAAATATCTAGTTAAATGCCCAGGGAGAGTCAGGATCATTTGGACAACAGATTAAACATAGAAGGAGTAAAAAACATGTAACATCACTGAAAGGGTTAAGTCTGATTTTTAAAAATGCAAAGCAAAGGAGGAATGGAGCTCAATATATATTTTATATAGATGATATTTAAAGAGATGATCATTAAAGGCCAAGTATTAATTTGAAATATGATCTGTTTCAAAACACCCTTCTTAATTACTTGGTGAGCTTGAGGTCTTCAGAACTTCCCAGCAATGTTCTCATTACTGCGGGGGGGTTATTTGTCCAGTTTGAATCAGCTGTTATCCAGCCAGTTCAGCTCCTGTGCAGATACAGCATGACTTCGAGAAGCCCTACTCGGCTCCCTTGATCCGTTGCATTGAAAAGGATGTGTGGTTCCAACCTTCCCTTCCTTTTTTTTTTTTTTTTTTAATTGCTGTAAATTGCAGTGATCCCTGTTGTTGCTGGATTTTAAGAATGTTTTGTGTCTTAGTGGGAATGACTTCAATGATATCACAGTTAATATGTTTAGAGATAAGATCTCGAAAGGAAAATATAATAGTATCCCCTACTGTCATAACAGAAAACTCCCATAAAGTCTTTAAATCCTAACATCTTCAGAAGAAGACATCAGTGTATGTAGGAGGCAATATAATTATTTAGAAGAGCTACTCCATTGAAAAAAAGTAAGATGAAACATTAACTGGTGTCTTATGAGAATATAAAATGCTTTTAACTGCACATATGCATGTTTGATACATTTCGGCTGTTGCTTTCATGACTCTTTAGTGTTCACCCTTCAACAATATATTATTTTTACTCCAGCAGCTGTTGGCTAATTATTTCAAGAAGCTGTTGGAAGCAACTCGTTCCTAGTATCATCAGATGTTTGCTTTGTGCAGCAGAGCGTAAATATTTCTTTGGTCTTTTAGTTGTTTTTGATTTAATGTGTACCTGTTGTGGAAGAAGCACTCCTACAGTGTAGTGAGCCCACTCTTTAGAGCAGAAGTTCATTGAGAAGTTTCCGTACAGAACCACACGACATGTTCAAAGAAAACAGAGTGAGCAAAATCCCCATGGGCTAAAAGCCTCTGGTTTTCCCTCTTCTCTATTAATGTATTCATGTTTCTGTAGAATTTGTTCTACCAGTGTAGTAGTGTCTTAACAACCGTTGATTTTTTTTCTTTTTGATTTTATTTTGTTCTGTTTTTTATTTGTAGGGTAAATTGCCAGTTCTTCTGCTTGGTCAGTCTGCAGACTTGAGGCCAGGAGAATTTGTGGTCGCGATTGGAAGTCCATTTTCCCTTCAAAACACAGTGACTACAGGGATCGTTAGTACCACTCAGCGCGGAGGGAAGGAGCTGGGGCTCCGCAACTCCGATATGGACTATATTCAGACTGACGCCATCATCAACGTATGTCCCGCTCTGAGCCTCGTCCCCTTCAGCTCTTCGGTTTCTTGAATGGTTGCTTTGAAAATTTCACCAGGGATACAGTTCTTAGGAACAGCAAGCGTAGCTGGCTTTTCTTTTATCCATGTAAATAAGGACACCTGCGCTGCAGCAGCACTTGATTGTTATTGAAAAATCCCCAAGGAACCACACCAAGTACAATATCTGCCTTAATTTCAAAATTCAAATGACAAGGGAGGAGGCAATATTCTCTGGAAAACAAGTATTTTTTTCAAAATCCATCACGTTTTCTAAAACAGAAGCCAAGCTTAGTTTAAGGATTCAAGTTTGTTTCTTCATTAAAGTGAAACAATTGTTTTTGGTCTTTTACTGCTGGCTTTGTAAGAAATCTTCACTAACAGCTCCCAGCGCTGTCTTAAAGTCTACTAAATTGCTCGTGTGGTACTATTAAAACAAAAAAAAAAAACCCAACCCTGGCTTTCTTAACTTACTCTGGCAAGAGAAGAAGGACTAAGCATTTGCAAAGCTCAGCTAAAAGGGGTGATGTTAAGTGTAGTTAATGGGTTTGGATGTTAAGACTGTTCTGTTGCACATATTTAACAGACATTGAAAAAACTGCTACAGAAGTATTTCAAGAATTTCTTTTATCTTTTGCTTGCCATGAATTAAGAGGTAGATACTAAAACATGTTCTTGCCATATGTTTATTTTCAGTATGGAAACTCCGGAGGACCCCTAGTAAATCTGGTAAGAGTTTCTTTAAGTTTGCTTAGTATCAAGCTTATTACTTTTTAGTTTAAAAACAAACCAAAAAACCTCACCCAAACCAACATGCAAACAAAACCCCACACCAGAAATGTGATTCAGAGCTTTCAATATCTGGCTGAATATACAAAATCCATAGGGTTCTTACGAATTACTTGTCTGTGTTTATGTTGGCAAATCACAGGATAGGCTTGGATTTTGATATTTAAGGTGTTTACAGTTTGCATAGTTTCGAGCAAGTGTAATGCCCAAATTTTCTTTTTGCCCATGCCTTGCAAAAAGTAAAAAGCCCATTTTAAAGCTGAGACGTTTGCACTCACTCTATACTATGCAACTGACACTTTTTTAAGCATACTGAGACTCAGCCTAACAGTTCAAAAACATAACTACCCCTTTAGTTTGAATCACACAGAAAGGGTTGAAAACCCCATGTATTTATCAGAGCACTAGGGTTTATTTGCTGATATTGGAGAACACAGAGCTGACCTTGCAGGATAAGCTCAAGAGAGAACAACTGAAGCAGGTTGCAAAACCCAACTGCTGCATGAGAGCTCTCAGCTGGGGGCACGTGGGGCTGCACGGAGGAGATGCCGTGGTCCTCAACAAGGGGCGGCATAAATTGGAAGAAAGAGCTAGGCACAGTTTCTGCCTTGGAGATCTGGCATTTTTTTTTTCACCTGACTCACAGTAGAATTTCAGCACCAGTAACCTCCATTTTAAAATTTGTAGTTGGATAGTTTTTGTCCGGGATAGATCAGGGAAGGAAGCTGCTGAGATTTCAGAAGAGTTTGAATCGCTAGGTGACAGCATAGATGTTTAATCTGAAATTCTCTCTTGGAGTCACATTAACAGGAAAAGCTTCTGATTTTTAGTGAACTGTCGTTTTTCTTTATATTATTATGCAATATTTGCCCAGAACCAGTTGGTGTCACACTTCACATGGTGCCTGCTGCAATAAACAGGCTGAAATTGCCTGTAGAATGTGCTGCTCATCTGCGCAAGCAGGAAGGCTGCCTGGTTCTGATCTCCCTTTTGCTAATGGCAATATGAATATCCACATCGGTTCTCCAAAACTGTAGAATAGTTTTTTTATTGATGGATGATTCAGAGAAATTAGACTTAAAGAAACCATTTAGAAAATTGAAAACCAGCTATGGAATGTGTTGTATGAATTTGTCTTTCTGATGGCTTGGAAGAAATAATCCGTTTCTCTTCAAGATGTTTTTATGTTTGCTAATAAAAATTTCTCATTTCTCCAGGATGGTGAAGTCATAGGAATTAACACATTAAAAGTTACAGCAGGGATCTCCTTTGCTATCCCATCGGATAAAATCAAAAAGTTCCTAACTGAATCCCATGACAGACAAGCTAAAGGTACTGTACTTCACCACTTTGAAAGAGAAAAAACGTGAAAATAGTAATAAACCAGGAAGTCAACAGCCTTCGAGGCTCTTTTGATAAGAACAGTTATCAAGAACTGTTTTCCTTTTTGTAGGAAAAGCTATAACCAAAAAGAAATACATTGGCATACGAATGATGTCCCTAACTCCTAGGTAAGTAAAAGCGGTGGTTGCTCACCTTTCTGAAGCGTGGTCACTGCATGCGTTTGGATCAAGCTCGTGTTCTGCGGAAGCAATCAGGAGGATGAACCGGCAGCGTGTGCCTCTGTAAGGGGCTGGTGACAACTCGCAGCCAGTTTTTGCCACCTTTTCCTCTGCATCTGCTACATACATGGTTGAACTCTCCCGTAGACTCTTGTATGAGCTAGTTTTTAAACAACTCCCTGGCTTTTTCTTTTCCTTAATGCTTCGGAAGAGAATAGCTAGCCATCGTGAATTTGTCCCAGAGTTCTATTAATGTTGTTGCCATCAGTCCTGTGCTGTCACGTGGGTCGAGGAGAAAACAAGACAGTATGTTTTTGAGAATTACAGCTGCTACGTGCACATTTCCTTCTCTATAAAATCATTTTCATTAAACAATTCACTTAATGAAGCTTTTGTGTGGACTTGCTTATTTATATTCAAACTGGAAAAGACTCATGAGCAGGTGATGCTATGTCCTGTAGAAATAACCAGAAGCGTTCCCACGCGCAGGGTCAGAGGTATAACGAAGCATCGAAAACTGAAGGGGTATTTTTAGATGTTCAGGATCTGCTAGTTCTTAAGTAATGACTAAGTTTTGGAAATGTTTTCACTCTATTGAAATGGTTTGTCTTTATCAGAAATAGGCATTAAAAAACTGTCTGCCTTCAAAAAGCATGATAATTCTTGAAATACTTTTAAGGGTTAAAAGGAATTGTGAAGTGTCGCATCAACATGTATAAAATACTTCAGCTAGTGAATGTGAAGTGAGTTAACGCAGTAAAAATGCATGGTGGGTGTTTTTTTCCCCGTCTTGTCAAAATGTTTTTGTTGCTGTCTCTTCATTTTCCAGCAAAGCTAGAGAGCTGAAGGATCGCCATAAAGACTTTCCTGATGTTGTCTCTGGGGCCTATGTTATTGAAGTAATTCCAGAAACACCAGCTGAAGCGTAAGTTGAACTACTTTCTTCTCAAAACCGCTGCCACTGAGTAAAGGCGGTAATGCTGGAGAATGTTGCCTGCCTAACCGGCTGTCTTGATTATGCTAAATTAACAAAATTATGACCATCTGATAGCTATTAGGTTGTCTACTGGAAATCGGTTTGTGGTTTCAGTCCGGTCCCCGATGGGCAATCCTGTGAACATAGCAGGGTATTGCAGCGAAGCCCTGTCAGCGTTCCCGGCCAAAAGGGCAAGGATTCAGTGGGCGTGAAAACTCAATTCTCGTTTTTCTCAGCGATTGCTTCCAAGACATCTGTTGTACTGATGCCAGTGCTGAATAACGACGTTTGCTTGTGTGTGCTCCCCACGGCCCTGCCGGTCACTCCTGTAGGAAAGCAAGGGAGAAGCTTTGCTTTTACCTTGTGAGGACATGTCCATCTCAGCCCAAGCACCTCAGGGCTGGGCAAACCCACCAGCTCTCCTGGCCTGCCTCTGTCTGGGGTGAAATCCTCTCTTGGCGCAAGATACTCTTCCATGAGAGCTTTGTCAGGAGTCACGTTACTGGAAAGAGCTTTGGATTTTGGCCAACTGATCTTTTTCTTTGTATGATTCAGTATTTGCTCAGAACCTCACCTGCTGGGTGGTACCACAATTCACAAGATACCTGGCTGAAGTATGGCAGCTGGTCTGTGGTCACTGGCACTGGCCTGGCTGGTGCTTGCTGGAAACACTTTCCCTTCAGAGTTTGGTTAATACAAAACTGCTCAGTAATCCAGAGTAAGAAACTTCATTCGTTTTCTGAAACTAGAGATCATTTAAGAGAAGAGTAAATCTTTGTGGCAAGAAAGAGGCGTATGTAGCACTAAAGGCATGTAGGCAGAAAGCTCCTTGGAGCAGGCATATGTTGTCTCTTAGGATGGATGGTTGGATGATACCTTTTTGTTGCAGTTTGGATGCCACTGTAAGATATACAGTGTTAGCTGTCTAACATGCTCTCTGAATTATTGCCGACTTTTGTAGATAATTCTTGGCAGCACTGTCTGTGCAGAAAACTGGTGTGCGTCTGTAATGTGAAACTAAACTGCAGTTAATGCAGAAATAATTTGGCTGTTTGCTCCATTGTGGGACTGAACTTACTCGCTTGACCTGCAGGTCCAATCTGAAGGCGCAGAAAAAACATCACAGAAGTAGAGACAGTAGTTAGCAGAGAGCAGGAGAAGGACATTAGAGAGGTAGAAGACATTTGAGGCAATGTAGTCTTGTAACTCGAAGGCAAACTCAAATCAGGACATGTCACCCGAAGGCTGGCCTGACAATTAAAATTGCAGCCCATGTTTGCTCTGTGTCCCTGACTCCTAGTCCCCTTGCATGTGAGTTTCTCCATTCTGCTGATTTCCTCCCCAGTGTGCGTTGTGTAGATCTGCTGCGTAGGGGATCAGGGCAGTTCTGCAGCGACCTGTGCCGGGTACAAGTCAAGAGGACAGGCTGCATGAGAGACCAAGATAATGTGGAATGCTTTCTGCCATGAAGATTGTTCTAAGCCATGCCTTTGGTAGGCAACCAGATTTGTTGAAAACGTTGGCCAAGGCCTCCTGCTTGCAGGAGACACTCAAGTAAGGCGTTTTCTGCGGACGGAAGAGTCCGATGACTGCTCTGTGGTTTTGTGAAGAAGGATTATGCTGAAGGGCTGAATCATGTCTGATCTGGTTACTTGGTTAATATTTCCATAACATGGAGCCAGATCATTGTGCAAGACCGGGCAAGACGCTGTGGTCGATGGTATCCCTCACCACCCCGTTTCTCAGTCCCAGCAGCAGTCTCAGCCAGCTCAGAGAGACCTGCGGCCCCGGGCAGGGGAGCCTGGTGGTGCCAGCTCCGGTTCTGCCCTGTCTTGCTTTGAGTCGGGAGGGTTTTGGTTTTGGTTTTGGTTTGCATACAGTGCTGAGGTCAGGAGATGGGATTCTGGGGGCTACAGGCAAGGGGAAGGACACGCGTGCGTTTTCGGCGACTGGGCTAGATCATCGTGTGTGTTGTTCTGCTCAGCTTTAAAACATGCAGGTAAGGTGAGGTGGCTGCTAATAAGCTTATATGTACAGAGAACAGCTTGGATCCGGGACCGAAATTCCTCATGTGTTAACGCATAGTGCCGCTCAAATTGCTTTGCTACGTATAAAAGCTTGGAGAATTTCCCCTCTAAAATGAGTGCCTTGTCACAATTATTTTGAAAGAAAAATACGCCTGTCTCTTCTACCGAACCAGCATCAGGGACCCTTGTTGCAAAATTATTGCGCCACTTGCAGTAGTGAATTCCTTTGAAGACAGTGAAATATGGGATTCATGAAACTTGAGCCTTCATCCGATTTCTGAGATTTCTGCATTGTATTTTAATCTTCACTGCTTCATAAACTCTGATTGCTTTTTGCATGCCCGCTGTGTTTCTGTGCAACTGCTGTTGGGTGGGAAATAGGAAAAAATCCAGCAATCTTTTTTTCTTTTCTTTTTTTTTTTTTTTTACAAAAACGGCGATTATACTAATACATTGCTGCTTTGTATTTTCAGTGGTGGCCTGAAGGACAACGATGTGATTATAAGCATCAATGGACAGTCGATAAGTTCAGCCAGTGATGTCAGTGACATTATTAAAAAGGACAGTACGTTGAACATGGTCGTACGCAGGGGCAACGAAGATGTTATGTTAACAGTAGTTCCTGAAGAAATCGATCCCTAACCAGAAACATGAGCTGGATTTCATGTTTTCTTTTAACAGCATTGGACTGCTTATATTCTCTCTGTGCTGGTACAGGAAACGTTAGACTTCTGACCAACATTCTGCTTGTTCAGTGGATTAGTATTGGCCAACAGAGTAACTTCTAATAGGTTTAAGGTGCAAAATCAGTGTAATTTCACATACTCCAGATGATAATTTTTTTCCTTCTGTATTATGTATGCAATGTATTCTTTACTGGCTATTACATTCCCCGCTTAACAAATCGACGTTTGCTTCCCTGTGTTTGAATCGATTTACCATTATTTCCGCTAAGATTTAAACAAAACCCACGCACACAATGTGTGTTGTGGTATTCGGGTATTTATAGGTTAGCTGTGTTTCAACTGGAAATACCATTGTAAAGTAGTTGGTTTAAAAGAAAACGTAATTGGGAAAAAAAAGTTTGGTTTACAAACAGAAAGAAATCCCAACCAAAATAACCCTTTGAGGAACCCGTGCAGGATTTTAATACTATGATATTTTCCTAGTGTTATTAAAAGAATTCAACAGTACTTCTTGTGAGTAATTCATTTTGCTGCTTCTTATGGAATGTTTTTCTTTGAACAGCACATCTGCCTGAAAGGATGTCCTGATGATCTCTTTTTTTATCATCATAAACCAAAGCACACACTCTTCAGTATGTGCTTGTATTTGCACTCTTGTGCATCTGCTTTTCCTGGCACGGCTGGCTCGAATTTGTTATATGATTTATTGCAGATTGCCTGTCTTCCAGATGTTAATATATTTTCCTTAATGTTTCAATTACAACTTCATCAATGCCTGAAATCCGTTTGCCCACTACAGAAATTGTCGTATTGTGGATCACAGGTCCTACACCATTCTAGTTCAGGTGTTAGGATGTTTGTAACCGTTGTAGATCTGGCCTTAAGCTCTTTCAAACACACTGTTTTATTCACAGTCTGAGTGCTGGTGTGTGTCTGATAGGACCTGGTTTTGACTAAGATGTTGGGCGTTCCTCTAACATAGAGACTAATCTTTATACGTACGTATGTTTATGGATGCCCTTGAAGATTGGGTAGTGAATGGGATTGTCTTACCGTGAAGGAGAACAATCAACTAGATTTAATTACAGTGTAATTACTCATGGGTAAACAATCGGCTAAGCAGCTTTTTCTTTCCTCTGTTGAAATATGTATCTCAGAATAAATCCAAGGGCTATAGACAAGCTTTGGTGGCTCATTCCTAAACATGCTCTTCTTTTGGAAACTGTTTCTTAGTAAAATCCTTCAACTGGGTGGCTGGCAGCTTATGATTTTTAAAGAATGGCCTGTATTCCAAGCAATGACAGCAAGAAATCCTCTACACCAGGATCCCTGACTGCTCCTTCTCCCACCAGCTGTATTTCAGTTCAGTTCCAGCTAGCTTGTCCCAATTTGTGGAGCTTCTGTACCCCCCAGTGCCAGTGCCTGCCCTTGCTCACCTAGTTCACTACAAATTTACACAGTCATACAGTGTATTGACACTTGGCATGACTGAACACTGCAGTGCTTGTTCACTTGTTCCATCGCTGTGGAAAATCACACGTCTGAAAATCTGTTATTATGGTGCCAAGCGCTGAAGGTCTGTAATACTTTCTAGCACGAAAGATGCGAAGTAGAATGATCTTGCACAGTTGCTTTGTAGTACGTTTGCACTGCAAGTTCATTTTACTGATGTTGATTAATGTTTCAGCTTCCTGTTGACTTCCTGTTGAAGTGATATCATATTTCGCAGACCGTCCATCGTATCCAGAGGAGGGCCATGAAGATTATCCAAGAGCTGGAGCACCTCTGCTATGAAGACAGGCTGAGAGAGTTGGGGTTGTTCAGCCTGGAGAAGAGAAGGCTCCAGGGTGATCTTATTGCAGCCTTCCAGTACCTAAAGGGGCTACAAGAAAGCTGGAGAGGGACTGTTGACAAGGGTGTGTAGTGAAAGGATAAGGGGCAATGGATTTAAACTGAAAGAGGGCAGATTTAGGTTAGAGATAAAGAAGAAATTCTTCACTGTGAGGGTAGTGAGGAACTGGAACATGTTGCCCAGAGAAGTTGTGACTGCCCCATCCCTGGAAGTGTTAAAGGTCAGCTTGGGTGAGACTTTGAGCAACCTGGTGTAGTGGAGGGTGTCCCTGCCCATGGCAGGGACAAACCATTCTATGATTCTGTGATCCATGTCCTGTGTGGTGCATAGTGTGGTGACATATAGCTCTTGGCAAAAATGAGCTAAAAAATCACTGACCTTCCCTGCTACTGCACCTGATCCAACTAGCAAAAATTAAGCTAAAGCCCCAAAGCCGGGAAATTGTGTTTAAAACAGAAGTTATTTTTCATCTGCCTTTTTATTTCAAAACAAGCGGTTGCATAATATACAGAGTTGGTTGATTCTCTTTGTTCCTGTTGTTTGTTGTTGTGGTTTCTTAAAATGCAAAGCCATTAATTTTTTGGCGTGGTTTCTAGCTAGCTGCTTGGGGTTTCCCGATGGCATCCTTGCCATGACAGCTAGCACAGCACATCTTTATGCCCTCGCTTTGCACAGACAGTGCTGTGAGGCATAAATGCCGCAGGACAACGGCTCGGGTTTGTACGTGCGTTAGAGGCAAACGAACTCGACTTCTGTGAAAGGTTTTCCTGCTCCGCGGGGATTAGGGAAATGTTTGACCACGTTTCTGGGCTGTGTAGTCCAGGCCCGTAGCTCCATCTAGTGGGATGTGAGATGATGTCTTATTGCAGCCACCCATTTTCCATCATGTATTTGAAAGCGGTTTTCTGATCTTTTTTAATTTATAATTAATTTCTTTGCATCAGTTGTCCAGAACCACCTGCATATCCTGAAAAACGTTTAGAATTTGCTCTTCTAGTATCCAGCCATGTTTGCAGCTACCCAGATGGTTTCTTACAATCAAAATTGTCTCTAAATCATCGAATCACAGAACGGTTTGGGTTGGAAGGGACCTCAAAGACCATCCAGTTCCAACCCCCCTGCCATGGGCAGGGACACCCTCCCACTACACCAGGTTGCCCAAAGCCTCATCCAACCTGGCCTTGAACACTGCCAGGGATGGGGCAGCCACAGCTTCTCTGGGCAACCTGTTCCAGTGCCTCACCACCCTCGATGTAAAAAATTTCTTCCTTATATCTAATCGAAATCTGCCCTCTTTCATTTTAAAGCCATTGCCCCTTGTCCTATCACTACATGCCCTTGTAATGTTTTTTAAGTATTTAAAACAAGATTACTGATAAGCAGATATAGAAGCAAAGTTTGTCTTTAATATGATTAATTAGCACGTATGTCTGACCTATTATTGGGTTACAGATTTTGAATAGTTTTTATTCTTTGTTGCTTCAATGCACAGTTCTTTCCAAAGTGCAATTGAAAATACTTTGTACAGAATAGCTTTGGCACAGCTCGTATAAATATCAGTTTCCTGGAAATTTTAGCAAGTGGTGGACTCTAAATCAGGGAAATTGGACATTCTGGCTTGATTTTTCAGTATTTTGGAATGTCTGAAATGGAAACTGGAGTTGCTGCGTATGTGATGCCGAGCAGACGGCTACATGTGGCTACACTCGGAGGTAGTTCCGAAAAGCTCATTCACTTATTCCATGAGGGAAATGTCTCGAGCTGTAAAAGAAACGATCATGACTAACAATTGTCTGGTTTCCATGGCTTGTATGCCAAGCGATAAAGTCCTTTGGTTTCAATACCAGAGGACTTTTTTTTCCTCCCCCTCTGCCTCCCAACTGTTTTCTATTTATGTTAAGGAAGACGAGGATGTTTTTAAAACTATGTCTTTCCAAATTACAGTGAGAGACACATCTAGTAGGGCATTAGATTGTATATATGTTTTTATTGTATATCAGAAAAATTCTGTAGTGGTGATTAAAACTGCAGTTGCAAATATCCAGGAGACGTAGTGGTGATTAAGAAGTTAGTGACCGATTCAGAGCAGTGATTGACGAAGGCCAGAGTATTTATTTGCATGTGATGGTAGATGACTGCAGGAGTCCTTTTCATCCTTAGAGTGAGAATAAAGAAACATTCATTTGAGGTTCCAGGGATCTCCTTGACTGAATTGTTTTTTTTTCTGCTGTTCCTAAATTCCTATATTATTTCCCACTGTTTCCTTTTCCACACAGAAAATAAGGATGTGACTTGGCATCCTTTAATCAGTTCCCCCCTCCCTTTGCTCTAACTCCCTCCACATAAGAGCTGCTGATGACTGTTGGCAAAAGGAAACCAAAATGTCACCCTGGGCTGGCGTTGTCAGATTTGGAAGTTAAATGTCAGAGAGCTGCTGTGAGGCTTTCTTCACACCGAGAAGCAGAAACTTCTCTAAGGGATGGGAAGGATCCAGGCAGGGATGGATCTGCCTGGCTAAGATCCAGATCCAGGCTAAGGATCTGCCTCATCTTGCTGTCCCCTTGAGTTTGGGATGCCAACCTCGGCACAGCGACCTCCCACCTGGACCCCAGAAATTCAACCAGCATGGGATAATGTTACCTGGAGGCAAGTGGATTGGTATCATTACTCATAACACGAAGGCCAGTGTCGTTCTTGACTGTATAGAGATGCGTAGCAGAAAGCTTTGCTGATTTTACATTCTTAGTGCGCGTCCACTGTACATCTGTACGTCCTACGCTGTGTGTCCAGCTGTGCTGTACAGATGTCTGGCACACGTTTTGTTCTCCTCAACCCCCAAACTCCATTTTCTTGTGCAAGATGCTGGGAAGTCAGGGCTGGAGCCACTGGGTCTCAGGATTTCAGCCAGTTTAGCCTCTTTGTACCGTTACTCTGTGGATATGCAAGAACTTGATTTGTTAAGTGTTATTTATTGCACAAAATTAGTGCTGAAACCAGTGCATATGTAATTCGACTAATTGGACAGAGCAAATGAGGAAGGAAGCTACCAGAGCAGCTCATCAATTTAATCTTATCTGCATTTTCTGGAAAGTTTTCCTCTAGTTTTCATGGTTCTGTTTAGTAGTCGTGATACGGCAGTGTCTGTCCCCATAAACTCTCTGAGGAAGTGGATAATAATTAGGAATTTAATAAGAGAGAAAATGAGTCAGAGCTAAAGTGTGGGAGTCAAATTTACTGGATTTGGTAAAGAACTAAATTTAGTAGCTTGGAAATACTGCAGAACTTGCTGGAGAGGAAAAATTAAGTATTTATTCTGTTCAGTCCTTTTCTGTTCAGTGTTCATGCAGAGCGCACAGTGATTTTCAGAAAGTTTGCAATGCAAATAGCTGAGGGAAATGGACTGTGTTAGAGCAGTCCAGGGGCTTAGGGCACCGTGAGATGGCAGCTGCTTGGTTTGTCTGTACCTGTTGCTGGACTCACTCCACAGATGTGGCTCAAATGGTCTAGTTCTTCCATGCAGCAAATTCCTATGAATGTCTCTGTTAAATAGAATTTTTTTCAAAGCAGATTGAGATGAAAAGTCGTTAACCATGTCAGTTAATACATATATTTTTTTTTAAATACAGAAAGGATTTTCTATTTGAAAACCCATGTA